TGTGTTCGAAGTCCCATCACTAACAGAAGCATCTTAAAGGGATTGCCGAATAAGTTGTATTGAGGAAATGGTGCACTCCGTGTGACCGCATGGAGTGAGGCGGCGCGTCATGGCTGGGTGAGGATCCGCTTCGGCGTGTGTGGCTCTGTGGTGATTGCTCGCTCCGTGTGCGCTGTGTGTTGGCTGCGGGGCTGCGGCCGTATCCCGTTGGCCGTGGGATTGAACTTGAGGTGGTGGTGGCGTTGGGTCTCTTCCCTTCCTCGTCCATTGGTGGGTGGCTGCTGGCGGTGTGTGCGTTTGTTGTGTGGAGGGCCGAATCCTCTCACCCGCGGACTGACGGCACTGCGATGGTGTTTGTGTGTGTGAGGGCTGGTGTGGAGTCGCCGGCCAGGGTGAGGGCCGTGGCGGTGCCTTTCCCGCTTGTCGTTTGTTCCTTCCGTGTGCTTTTTTTGCTGCTTTTTGCCTTTCCCTCGTCATCCTCTCCTCCTGTGTTCCTGCGCGGAGTGGCCGCATGCTCACGGGCCATTTTGATCGTAATTGCCTCCTGACGGCATCCATCCATCTCACTCTCTCTCACTCTCTGTCTTTCGCTGTTGGGTGTGGCGTGTTGCACCGCGTGAGGGCTGGCCCGCACACACCGACGGCCTGTCGCGAATTGCCGTGTTGCTACTCTTTTCTGTGGGCGATGGTCCTCCGTGCCGTCCCTTCCGGATTGTCTTGTCTCCTGCTCTCCGCGTGGGTGCTCTGCTCTGCTCCTCACTGACGTGTCTGATGTATTGCCGCTGTCGCTGTCTCCTCCACTTGTTGAACACACACAGAGGGAAAACAAGCGCGAATCGCTACTGTGAGATTCGAAGGCACTGAAAGGACCAACAGCACACACACCGCCCACACACACATATTTGTATGCTCTCACGTGTTGCTGCAGTGAGGGCACCCCGCACACACAACCGTCGCCGTGTGACCGGATCCAGCGGAAGGAGGAGGGAAGGAGGAGAGAGCGAGCCGCAGAGGCCCAACATGTTCCGGCGTGTGTTTACTTTCGCGGTGCTTTTCCTCCTCCTCCTCGTGATGATGTGCTGCGGTACCGGTGGAGCTGTGGAAGCTGAGGAAAGTAATTCGGTGCGGCTCATTGATTAATTTGAAGGGATGATAATTATTTCTTCTGCTAAATAGGGCGAAGGTAAAAATGACGTGGAAGTTACGTTGCTTCGTGCTCCCAGTTATGTGAGTGTGAAGGGCGGTGTGTTTGCCATTGCTGGGGTTCAGTGCAGGGCAGAAGGCGGAGTCAGCGGCTGTGATGGGATTATGGCGAGGCGGCTGAATTTAAGTGGTGGTCCAATGGAGATCTCGATGGCGGACAATAGTGTCCCTTTTGCGCAATTTCTGGGGGTGTTGCTGCTACGGATGGTAAGGAGGCGACAGAGATAATGCGGCCCACAACAGTTGTGAGTGGTGGCAACATCTACTTGCCTCTTGGGGACTACGGCAAAACAAATTCGGACACACAACCGGCTGACGCAAGCAACTGGGGCCTTTTGTTTGTGAGGGGGACCGTCACTGGAGAGGGTGAGAGCAAGAAGATCCGGTGCAGTGGGACCCATGCGGTTAAACCCGATGCCGGAGGTCGCACTAACTCCCTGAAGAATTTGAATGGTGGAGGAGGTTCGGGTGTTGCGTTTCATGGCGGCACGATTGTGTTTCCCCTGCAGGCCACAGACGGGGATGGAAAGAGTGTTTTGCTCGCCATGCAGTTCACTTCGTCGGATAACAAATGGGGGCTTTCGTATGGCACGGCTGGCAGGGGCTGCAGGGATCTAACCGTTGTGGAGTGGGTGGCTGGCAAAAAACTTATTCTGATGTCTTCTTGTGAGGATGGCCAGCACCAACTGTGCATGTCCGATGGGCATGGGACGAGTTGGTATCCAAATCTTGTGCCGATTAATCGCGTGTGGGGCAACTCACATGATAGAAAAGGGTACGGAGTGCAGAGTGGATCCACCACCGCAGTCATTGCGGGCGAGAAGGTGATGCTCGCCGCCCTGCCCGCGTATTCTAAGGACAATGAAAAGGGTCGGCTCCATCTTTGGGTGACGAGCAGTGTGCGTGTGCACGATGTTGGTCCGATATCCCGTGAGGGTGACGACGCTGCCGCCAGCTCCCTGTTGGTGAAAGGGAATAATGACGAGTTGCTTTCACTGTACGAGAACAAAAAGAGGAGCGAGGACGGATCAAACGGTCATGTTGCAGTGCGCGTGGCGGCGGGGCTGGAGCGGGTAAAGGTGGTGGCGAAGAAATGGACAGATTTGAACAGCGCTCTGCAATGATGCAGTCGTACTGCCAAGGTTGGCTGGGCGGCAGCAAATGGCATGTGCACTGGTCCTGTTCCCACGAAAGGGCTGGCTGCCTTTTTGTCCGGCAGCTCAACTGAGACCGAGTGGCGGGACGAGTACCTCGGCGTGGGCGCAATAATAAAGAATACGGCAGCGGCTGTTAATGGAGTGATGCTCAAAGGCGCCGGAGCAGGAGCGCAGTGGCCGGTCGACATGAATGGGCCGACTGTGCCGCACCACTTTGCAAACAGGGAGTTCACTCTTGCGGCGGCGGTGTCGATTCACGAGGTGCCGGAGAGTGGCAACGTCCCTTTGGTGGGTGTGGGGATGAGCGACCCCAACAGCACGGTTCTCATTGGCATTTCGTACACCCACGAAAAGAAGAGGAGCTCCATGACTCCTAGTGACGCTAATCCTGACAAGCCTGCTCTTTTTGACTGGAAACCAAACACGACGTATCAAGTGACGTTTGAAATGAATACGGATGGATGTTACGTGTTTGTGGATGGGAGGGGATTGTGCATGCAGAAGGAGGAAGAGGAAAGCTTTGAAACCCTGCTGGAGAAACACAGGATCTCATACCTCTTTATTGGCTGGGGCAGTGCGAGAGGCACGGAGAGCAGCCATATGACGGTGACCAACGCTATTCTGTATAACCACACAGTGTATGGTGAAGGGTTGGAGCAACTCAATGCAAGCACAGTCCCTATTCCACAATCGGGTGTTGCTAAACAGCAGAGGAAGCACGAGGGTGACCCGAGTTCTGGCGACAGCACCGTCCACTTGTCTGTGTCCCCGGTGCTACTACTGCCTGCTTTGGTGCCGCAACTGTGGGGCATGACGGCTCTGTGCTGAAGAAGGCATGGGGGGTGGAGTTGCGACTCCCCGTGGGGAAAAAACTGTTCAGCTTTCCAGCAGCACTTACTGCATTTTGCCGAGGACTTTATTTTTCTGTTTTTTTCCTTTTATTTTTTTGGCGCAGGTGCTTGTTGGGTTCATCAGCGCCTCCGTGTGCTTTTGTGTCTGTTTTCTGATCTTTTTTCAAAATCCTTTTTCCCCCAATGTCTGCCTAACAGACACACCGTCATGCGTGACGTGTTTCTTCCTTTTGTTTGCTTCTGCCACCCACACGCGGTGCCGGCCTCACTGCCGTGCGTCCCACGGACCGCACAAAACGGGGATTGGAGGGACAGGCCGGATGCCGCATGGAATGTGAGGGATTTTTGTGTGTGCTGGTGGAGGAATGCGACCTTTTTTGTTTGTGCAGGCAATATGTGTGCACGCACCCATTTCCTGTATGCTTTGGAGCACATGAAATGAAAGCTTCTGCTGAGAGCTTTTTTTCTGCTTTGTTTTGTTTTTGGGAGTCGTGCGTTGTGTGCGGCGTACGTTGCGTGCCTGGCTGCTGCCCTCTCTCCCCTCATGTGGTGTGCCCTCTGTGTGTGTGTCTGCCGCACCTCTCGTCTCCCCTGTTGCTCTCCATGTCCCTCACTGTGCAGATCAGCTCCACACCACTGAACGACCACACTCACGATGATGACGTGCCGTCTGTAGTGCGCCCTGTTGATGCTCGCCCTGTGCTGCTGCCCGTCCGTGTGTGTGACAGCTAATGTTGTCGACGAACAAGGTGGCACCGGTCGACCTTCCAAATTAGCTCAGGATCCAAGTCTTACGGCCGATTCTTCACATTCGAATGCTCATAAAAAACCGGTTCCGGGAGCTGCCGTTGCGTTACCTCCATCAGTTTCGGCCGTTGTGGGAGGGGGAGCAGGTACGCCCGGACATTCAGTGTCAGGCGATGGGAACAATAATTCGCCAGGTTCAACGGGTAATCCCAAAGATCCGGAGGTAAAAAAAGAGGATGCTGATACGGAAGTCTCAAAAAATAATGAGGAGGTTAAGGTACAGGCGCCAAATACCAAGACCACGACGACAACCACGACCACGACGACGACGACGACGACCACTGCGCCAGAGGCACCCAGTAGCACGGCCATGAATACGGAGACGCCTACTACGACGACCACCCGCGCACCGTCAGGTCTTCGCGAAATCGACGGCAGCCTCAGCAGCTCTGCGTGGGTGTGTGCCCCGCTGCTGCTCGCCGTGTCCGCGCTGGCGTACACCGCTCTGGGCTGAAGAGGTGTGTGCGGGTTGTGCGTGCCAGCACTCAACCGCGGGGACATGTGTACGTATACTGTGGTCCGATGTATAAAGTAAGAGTAATTATGGTGATTGTTGTTTGCTTTGCTTGCTTCCGCCGCCCTGCTGTGTGCTCCGCGTTGCTTCCCACATCCGCCACGTTGAACGCGTCCCAGACACACTCATATGCACGACACCCACATGACTGTTTGCGTGGACGCACTGTTAAGGATAGGTGCATGCGCGCTGGAGACATTTGGGTGCGTTTTTGTTTTTTTTTGCTGTTTTACTTTTTTTGCTGTTTGTTTACTTTTGTTTTATTTTCCTTGTTTTGTGTGTTTTTCTTGTTAAATTGTTGCGTGGCGTTGTGCGTTTTTTGCACCTTCATTGGCCTAATATTTTTCGTGAAACGCGTGCTGCTGCGGCTGGTGTTTTTTTACTGTGCCGTGTCTTTTCCTTTTGCTTCCGCTTTGCGTTGACGGGGTGTTAGTTTGTGCTGAAGGCTGCAGGCAAGTGACAGGAGTGATGGCGATGATGATGACTGGCCGTGTGCTGCTGCTGGTGTGTGCCCTCTGCGTGCTGTGGTGCGGTGCCGGCGGGGTTCTGGCATCGGCGTCCGATGTTGCTGCTGGTGGATCCGGAACTTCCGGCGAACGTGGAGGTGGTGATAAATCTTCTCTCGCAGATGGGAGTCATGGAGGCAGTGGAGGTTCAAATGGTGATAGTTCTCATGAAAGTGAAAGTGAACCTTCGGATTCTGCTTCCAATGAAAAATCTTCAAACCTCCAGGTTGATGAGAATGAAGATCCAAATTCCTCTGGGCAACCTTTACAGCAGGGAAAAGAGGGCTCCAAAGGAAAACAGGATCACTTACAATCAGCGCCTCAAAATGGATCGCCACATAAAGTGAATGGAACAGAAACACTTGGTTCTGATGCGCAGGTACAGTTGTCCGCTACACCAAACGCAGAACTTAATACTAATGTTGCTGACGGTGAAATCGCGAACGGGGGAAGAGGGAATACTGGCCACAATGCCGGGTTATCCCCTTACAGCAGCGACTCCTCAGCACCCCCAGTACCACAAGTCAATGACGTAGTACCACCAGCAGAGCCATCACCAGCAATGACTGTTCCAGCAGGAGAAACAAACCCAACAGCATCAAAAGACTTACAAAATATAACAGAAACAACAAGCACGACGCCACCGTCACACTCCAAAACGGCGTCCGAAGCACCGGAAAACCCCTCAGGGAATGGTGCGCCAAAGCAACACAGAGAAGAAACAGATCCACCAGATTTGAAGGATGCACCTACGAGCCATACAGCGCAATCAACAGCATCACCCATCTCCACAAGTGGCAGTAGTGGTGCCCAGAGTGAGGCGGATGCGGATGATGACGACCCTCAACGGCCTAACCCCGAAGGACCGCAGAACGACGGAACCGAAGCTGGTGATACCCACGGTCCATCTGCAGCCAGCGATGCAGCACCACAAGCAGCAAAAGCAATCGCCGCTCAAACAAATGGTACGGTGACACCTGGCGACAGTGACGGCAGCACCGCGGTCTCCCACTCCACCTCCCCTCTTTTGCTTCTTGTTGTTGTTGTGTGTGCGGCTGCTGCTGCGGTGGTGGCCGCGTGAGAGTGAGGGGGAGAGAGCCGTGCACCGCCCGCACACACACTCGTCTTTCACTCACTCTCTGTGTGTGTCCCCTTGCATGGACTCTCGCCCTCACCTCATCCCACGAAGCAGACACATAATGTGCCCATTGTATATATGCATGCACACCCATGCAGGCCCGTTGGTGCTCTCTTTTGCACGACACGCACCGCTGCCGTCCTGCCTGGCTGCATGGGCGGAGCACCGTAACTGTTTCTGTTTTGTTTTTATTGCATTGAGTGGGCGACCTCTCTCTCTCTCTCTCCCTGTGTGTGTGTGTTTTGCCTTACGGGAGCAATGAGAGTGTGTGCGCTGGTCGTCCCACGCTTCGGCTTTTTGTTTTGTTTTTCGTTGTTTTGTGGTTGAGTGCAGCCATTCCACTTCTTTCGATTGTTGGTTTGCTTTGACTACAAACACTTTAATCTTCTTTTCTGTATTCCCATATTGTTTAATTGTTTTAAAATTGTTATCTTCTCGTGCTCTTGTGAAGCCAATAATTTTTTCCTTTGAAATACGCCTTCCGTCAGTTATTTCACGGCACGCCGCGGCCTCCAGCGCTGCTTTTGCTTGTGATGGTGTTTGTGATGCTATATGCCTGTTTGTGTTTCTCTTTTACCCTGAAGTATTACTGATTCTTTGACGATGTGGTCTGCTCCAACAGCGAGGTCGATCCCGGTTACGGTGGGAAATATGCATCTTAGAGAGCAGGATGCTTTGCGGGCGTACAACTTCTTTTGGAGGAACCTATGGGCGCCCATCTGCACCAATGTGTCCACAAGGGAATTGAATGATACCAGGAAGTATTGCCTCTCACAGCGGTCTCACGCAATGCATTCATTGGGTGAAAATCGGGGCTGTTAGGGTGATGTTCCTTCCTCTGTGCACGGCAACATCCTTGCCGAAAAAGTTGTTTCTCTTTCTGTCCAACTGCATGCGGATCGTCTGCTCGTGCAGCCACTGGAGGGTTCGTTGATTGTGCCCCCATTTGCCACGGGCAGCGTTTGTAGTCGGTTCACGGTGCCTGCTGGGCATTGTTCCACTGGTGTTGCCGATTCTGACACAGTGTTGTACGTGGCTGCGGCACCTGGTGGTGTGTGGGCACTGCCGTGCGCCACGCTGGAGGATGGCCGTCCAGTCGCTGGCGCCATGTACTTTGCCCGACGGTTTTATTTTGCGGAGGCCTCGCCACCCGCATCGCCGCGCAACTGATGGCCCATGCTTTCGGCTTCACCTACCCGCACATGGCCAGCCGCAGCATGGTGAGGAATGCTATTGGTGTGCGTGGCAGGGCGCTGTCGGAGGTGGTGGACTCGAAGACTGCCGCGATGGCTGCGAGGGAGCACTACGACTGCGACGACATCGATGGCATGGAGCTGCAGGATGACGATGGGGACGGGAGGACGCTGGAGTCGCGCTGGTGGCGGCGCCACGCGAGGGATGAGCGGATGGCACCGATTGGGAGTGCCGGCTGCCGCACAGAGGTGTTGCTGGCCGCATTGGCTGACCTTGGCTGCTTGAGGGTGAAGTGGGAGATGGCGGAGCCGATGCGTTGGTGCAGGAATGCATTCTGTGAGCTGCTGCAGAGGAAGCGCTCCGCACCGAGCACGAGTGAATATTGCTACATGGTCTGCGAAGTGGGTGTCCCTGTCAAACGCTGCGCGTCGGACCGGTATTCCCGCGGTTGGTATTTGGGGAGCATCCATGAAATGTCAGCAAAACACTCGATGGGCCGTTGCCCCATCACTGATCCCGCACTGGATGTGAGGGATATTGAGGCTGTTATTTGGAGGGAAGAATATTTGTCTGCGATGCCCGGGGATGAGCCCTCTTCGTGGTGTCTGGACACGCTTCCCACCAACACGACGGATGCGAGGAACCCGGAGGAGAGAGATTTCAGTGCTGCAGCGCATGCTGCATTGAGGTGCCTCGGCATGTAAGTGCATCCGGAAGTGACTGAAAAGGGTAACGTCCGTTGGTTCCATGCACGGACGGAGCGACGGTTGCGTGGGCCACTCGACCGTACGATGAGGGAAGCGTTAGTTGCCGTGACCACGCGCAGGTGTGGACGATATCTGCCACCAGCGGCAGCCTACTTCCAGTGGTTCCGTGGGACGGCGAGGAGAGGGCGTGTGGAGCAGGACGGTTTCACCGGCATCTACTGAACAAGCTTTGCCACGGGCATCTGTCCCCGTTGCGGAGAGCATTGAGACCGACCGCGGCACCCACACAAAGGATTTTGTCACGGCTATTCCCGAAAGGAATTTGTTGCTACAGGGACCATAGCGGCTTTCTGTGCTGCTTTTGTTGTTGGAGTGAGGCACGGGCGAAGGAAACTGCATGCCGTCCCGCTGTTAACGGTTGTGCGCATCACTGGTGCCTTGCAGCTGCGGCCTTCCGAGGTGTGTGCACAGCGGCGGTATATCGCTTTGCTTGATCGGCACGACTGCGCTGTGGCGGGGATCGCTGTCCTTTGCGCCGCTACAGCCCTGCTGTCCGTGGCGTGTTGTTGTGGTGGATGTGCCTCACTGTCGACCAACACGCGGCGACCCAGCTGTGGATAAAGAGTGACCGTTTATCATGGTCAGTCTTTGAGTATGCACACATCTGTAATCTCTCATGGGCGGAGCCGTTTGCCCACACAAAACAGGGGAGTGAATGGGTACCGACCTCATCGCCGCCGCCCGCGTTGCTCGCTTGTGCCGTGTCCGAGCTGCGGTGTATTCCTCGCTTTGTGTTTCTGGGAGCGGGGATGGCAAGGGTTGCGTGTGCCCTTGTATCCTTTGTTGCTGTCCCGGCTGGACCACGCATATGATGGGAGAGGCTTTGTGCCGTGCGTGTGGAGGTGTGCGTGTCGGCTCGCTTCTGCGCTATTTTTTTTTTTTTGACGTTGTGTGTGCGGCACCGATGTTCCTGCTGTGGGTGGCGTGGGGACTCTTTTTGCCGTATTTGTTGTTGCGGAATGCGACGCGTTGGCGATGATGTGCGTGAGTGGGGGACGGCCTCGCACGATGCGGAGAGTTGTGTGCGGCCCGCACGGCACATTAGATGCTGTTGCGAGCGGTAGCTTCTGGCGTGGGTAGCCGCGCTGACGTGCTGCCATGGTGCGGCATCTCGCGAGGAGGGAGGACGGGAGCGCGTGATTTGGATCTTTTCGATGTGTTGTGGGTGTGATGTTGGCGGCGTGCGGCCGGTGAGTGGTTTGGCATTTTGGGTGCCTGTGACGAGTGCGTATGGATTCTTGCCCAGCAGCTGCACGTGCCGACGTGTTCCTCCCGCTGTTCATACAGCGACGGAGGATTCTCCGGCTGTGCGGGGCGATGTGCGGTGGATGTTGCGGGGAGAGACAACAGTAAAACGACTGGCGGCAGCGTGTGTGGGCGTTGTTCAGTGTGTGCTGACGCGTGACGAATAACACACCCGCCGTGGCTCCTGCTGCTGCTGGTGGTGGTGGTGGCAGTCGCTGCGTGTTCCCGGTGCACTGTTCCTACTCCTTGTTCCATGTGTCTGTGTGCGTGAGTTGTTGTCGTGGTTGGGAGTGACTGCGGCGAGGATCATGATGCCGCTCGCAGTGTGGATGGGTGGCTGTGCTCACTGTTTCACCTCTTTTCTTGGCGTGTTTCTCTCTCTCCTCCTACATGCACAAACACTAGGAAAGAAAGCAAACAAGCGCTAAACGCTATTGTGAAATTCGAAGACTCTGAAAGGACCAACAGCACACATACCGCCTACACACATATTTGTATGCTCTCACGTGTTGCTGCAGTGAAGGCACCCCGCACACACAACCGTCGCCGTGTGACCGGATCCAGCGGAAGGAGGAGGGAAGGAGGAGAGTGTGAGCCGCAGGGGTCCAACATGTCCCGGCGTGTGTTTACTTCCGCGGTGCTGCTTCTCCTCCTCGTTATGATGTGCTGCGGCAGTGAAGCCGCACACGCGGAGAACAGTGCTTCAGGGGGTGATCCAAAGTTTGAATGGAAGGACGCCAATGGTGGTGTAGCTGTGGACTCGTTGGGCTTTCCTGGCCTTCTAAAAGTGGGGAGTGACGTATTTGCCGTCGCCGAGGCGCAGTGCAAGGAGGGTGAAACCATCTTTACTGGCATTGCAACTCAACTTGTGACGACAGCAAAGGCTAACGAACCGGTGGAAGTGCTGAAGGATGCCAAAAGGGATACACAGGCTCTGGAGGAAGGCACTACCGCAATCAAAAAGAAAGTAGATGTGAGTCGACCAACAACAGTTGTGAAGGAAAATGATATTTACATGCTTGTTGGTAAATACAGCCGGACAGCTGCCGCTGATGATCAGGCCTCTCCTGCAGCTCGTTGGGGACTTTTGCTGGTGAAAGGGAAAGTCAGTGTTGAGGGAGGCAACCGAAAAATCCAATGGAATGAGAACCAGCGACTGGTCGGCACCTTTTCTGCTGGCGAACACGATTCCTTGATGCAGTTGATTGGAGGCGGTGGATCTGGCATTCAGACGGAGGACGGCACGCTTGTGTTTCCCGTGGAAGGCACGAAGAAGAATTTGGGGCAGAGCGAAGTTGTGGGCGGAAAGACTGTCTCACTGCTCATGTACTCTTCGGATGCTTCGAATTGGAAGCTGTCGAAGGGGATGTCTGCCGATGGCTGCAGCGATCCCTCCGTCGTGGAGTGGGAGGAGGGAAAACTCATCATGATGACAGCGTGTGATGATGGCCGCCGCAGGGTGTACGAGTCCGGTGACAAGGGGGAGTCGTGGACGGAGGCACTCGGGACACTCTCGCGCGTGTGGGGCAACAAACGCGAGGGACCTGAGAAGGGCGTTGGGAGCGGGTTCATCACAGCGACTATTGGAGATGATCATAAGAGAAGGTTGATGCTCGTCACCCTGCCGGTGCCTTCTACGGAGAGGGAAAAGGAGGAAAAGGAAAAGGGCGAACTCCATCTTTGGCTGACGGACAATACGCACATTGTTGATATTGGGCCGGTATCCAGGGAAGGGGAAGACGACGTTACCGCCAGCTCCCTGTTGTACAAAAGTGGTGGAGGTGAGAATAAGGAGTTGATTGCACTGTACGAGAAGGATAGGAGCGGTGAAGATACATCGTCACGCAGTCTTTGGTCTGTGCTTCTGACTGCGCAGCTGGAGCGGGTGAAGGAGGTGCTGGCGACTTGGAAGAAAGTGGACGAAAGTGTCTCCAAGCTGTGCCCCACTTCAAGTGCTGCGGAGAGTACCTCGACTGGCACTGTCTGCACTTCTGTGGTCACGGCTGGGCTGGTTGGCTTTTTGTCCGGCAACTTCTCTGAGAGTACATGGAGGGACGAGTACCTCGGGGTGAACGCCACCGTGAAGAGCGGTGTTGGGGCAGCAGGGACTACCGATGGCGTGAGGTTCACAGGGCGTGGCGCAGGGGCGGAGTGGCCCGTTGGCAGTCAGGGGCGGAATCAGCTGTACCACTTTGCGAACTACAACTTCACTCTTGTGGCGACGGTGTCCATCGACAAGGAAGCGACGGAGGGAGGTACCACTATTCCGGTGATGGGTGTGCGTCTGGAAGGCCAAGAGAAACTTATGGAGTTGTCGTACGACAGCGGTGGTAAGTGGCAGGTGCTGTGCGATGGCGTACCGAATTCTGGGAAGCTCAGCAGCACTTTGGGGCCAACACACCACGTGGTAATTTTGCTACGGAACGGCAGCCAGGGCTCCGCGTACGTCGATGGTCAGCGTGTGGGAGATGCGCCATGTGAATTGAAAGTTACAGATTCGAACGAGATCTCCCACTTCTACATTGGAGGGGATGGAAGCGGCGCAGGGAGCCAAGAAGAGGTGCATGTGACGGTGTCGAACGTCCTGCTGTACAACCGCCCGTTCGATGAAGCAGAGATTGGCGTCCTTAACCCGAATAAAGACCCAATTCAACTTTTGAAAGAGAATCCGTCGGAGCCTTCAACAGTTTCTTCTGATTCCATTATACCTCCCAGTCATCCGGTGACCCCGAATGCTCAGAAAACCGAAACTCCGTCTACTCCTGCCGGAACACATCCGTTGGAACAGGGACAGTCGATGGGGAGCAGTAAAGATGCGGGCAGTGGCGGTGCATCCAAATCAGCGATGTCCACTGTCAGTACTTCTTCAGCAGGAAAGAACTCCGTAAAGCAGGTGACTTCAGGAACATCTCCCGATGGAACTCAAACTGTAGATGGCGGTTCTACTGCTGATGGCGAGCCAACGATGGAGACAAGAGAAGAAGGAACGAATGGGCAGGAGGAGGAGGTTAATACGCAGATCAGTGAAGTAAATGCTACGGCACTCAGCAGCAGTCTCGGAAATGTGTCGCAGGGGAATAACAGCGACTCCGGCACTGTGCGTGAGAGCGGACTGCTGCCATCGTTGCTGCTTCTCCTGTTGGGACTGTGGGGGTTTGCGGCTGCGTGAGGAGTGACTGGCTGCCGCGTGGGACACTTGCGCCCTCCCTGCACCGACACACACACCGCCAGGAACAAATTTCACCTCATAAATAACTTTTATTTACTTTTCTCCCCTTTTGCTTTCTTCTGCGTTTATTAAGTTGTTGTTGTTTTAATGTTTTAATTTTAGTTTTGCTTTTTTAGTAAATTCTTTTACGTTTTTTATTTTTATCTCTCATTCCCTTTTTAATTGTTTCTTGCTGCACTCTTCTTGTGAGGGGTGCCGTGTGTTTCCCGCCCAACTGCTCCACTCGCACACCCACTGACACGCTCATGACGACGGCCCTGTGCGCCTCGCCTGCTGCACGCATGAGGAGGGGCCGCGACGAACGGCGCGCTGAGGGAGCCGTGACGTGTGGGCGTGCGACGAGGGCCTGTGGGGCGGAGCACACATTTCTTTCCCTCTTGTTTTGTTGTTTTAGCGGCCAGGGCGGGCAGACACCCGCAGCGCCACACACACAGCCACACCCTGCCGCCGTGTTTTTGTTTTGTTTATTCGATGGGTGTTTGCCGCCACCGTGCGTGATTGGGGAGGTCGGGGTGCACTGTGTTTATCGCTGCCATCCAGCTGTGCCTCTTGCCGTGCTGATGCGTCTCCCTGTGCTCCGCTTCTCTTCTGCTCCTCCAGAAAACACACACAAACACAAGTATTGGTATGGTGCTCTGCAGGAGGCTCTTGGCGGCGGGACGACTGTGACTGCGCGTCCCGTGGTCTCCGTGCTGACGTGGCGAGGCCGCTGCGTGTCTGCCTGCGGTGGGGGGCCACGGTGTCATTGGCTGGATGTGTGCGGGACGCCTTCCGCATCCCGCTGGGGTCGGTTGATGCGGCTGCACGATGCCTGCCGTGCGTGGAGGTGTTGTGTGCACTCGGGGCTATTCCTCTTTCCCCTCTGTTTTTTTTCCTGCTGGGTGCGTGCGTCGCACGGTGCGTTGACGCGTGACGGACGGTGCCACGATGGCCTCCTCTGGCGATGATTGTCGCTGTGTTCTTGGCACGCACCCGCACGCGCACGCTTCCTCGCCTTTCTGTGGAAGTGAGTTGTTGTGGGGGCGTGGCCCGCTGCTGCTGACGGTGCGCAGTGTTTTTCTTTACAACTTGTCTTGTCTGCTCCCCGTGTCTCTTCCCATTTCTTCCACAAACACACACAGACACACTAGGAAAGAAAGCAAACAAGCGCCAAACGCTACTGTGAGATTCGAAGGCCCTGAAAGGATCAACAGCACACACACCGCACACACACAAATATTTGTATGCTCTCACGTGTTGCTGCAGTGAGGGCACCCCGCACACACAACCGTCGCCGTGTGACCGGATCCAGCGGAAGGAGGAGGGAAGGAGGAGAGAGCGAGCCGCAGGGGTCCAACATGTCCCGGCGTGTGTCTACTTCGGCGGTGCTGCTCCTCCTCGTCGTTATGATGTGCGCCGCCGCGGGGACTGTGCAGGCCCAAAACTATGGAACGGGAGTGGACGATTACTATGAGAGACACGGTTTGGAGCAGTTGCCAAGGGAGTATCGAGCCGCAAACCCACCGGTCCCTGGCCATATTTTCCGCAATCCCCATCTTGTGAATGTGAACGGGATGCTGCTGGCCATTGCTGGAGCTCAGTTCAATAGAACTGTGGGGAGCGGGAGTGCGTCCATGCAGTTGATGGCATGGATCAGCGTTGATGATGGGAGGACGTGGCAGTCGTACGCGGGGCCAGAAGGTCGTGACGCTTTTGCTCCACACCCTTACCGGATGTCGTTTCCCTCGTCTTTTGGACCCTTCGGACCGCTTTTTGCATTTGTGGAGGGCTACGACTTACGGAACGGGGCCATAATTCGGTTTCCCGATGAGCGGAGAAGTGGTGTGGAGTCTCTTATCCATTTTCTGGAGACGGGGCCTGGACAAAGCGGAGGCTTGTCGATGAATTCCGTCTCTATGAGCATTCGCCCTCATTATCCCCATAAATACGGTGACATTATTGGCTTCCTCAACGATGCCAGCACTCCCATCACGAAAATGACGGATGGCACGCTCGTGTTTCCCGTGCAGTTTCTGACATTTGGAGGGGACACTGCGTCCACAGTCATGTACTTGAATCCCGGTCAACAGCACTGGACCCTTGCGAAAAGCGCGACACATGCGGGTTGCACCAACCCCAGTATCCTTGAATGGGAGGCTGGGAAAATCATCATGATCACCTCATGTAAGTACGGCCGCAGAAGAGTGTACGAGTCGACTGACAAGGGGAACACGTGGACGGAGGCTCTGGGGACGCTCTCGCGTGTATGGAGCAACTCATTGGCAGGTTCTGGGCTCCACATTCAGGGTGGATTCATCACTGCAACGATTGGCGGAAAGAAGGTGATCCTCCTTACCCAGCTGGAATATTCCAGGGACAACCAAATGGGCGGGATTCACCTGTGGCTAACGGACACGAACCGCATTTACCACGTTGGCCTGTTACCCACTGGGTATGGCGCGACCTCCAGCTCTCTGTTGTACGCGAATGATAGGCTGTATTGTTTGTACGAGGCCGGTGTTGGAAGCAACTCCGTCCCCTACCCCTTGGATCTGACGCATGAGCTGCAGAGGATAAGGCATGCGCTGTCTACCTGGGCCGTGAAGGACAATGCCCTGAGACAATGCAGCTCAATTGCCTCAGGCGCCACGCTGTCAAGATGGGACTGTCCTGTTCCTATCCCCACGACTGGGCTTGTGGGCCATTTGGCCGATACGCTCCATGGGGACAAATGGGAGGACGAGTACCTTGGGGTGAATGCCGTTGTGAGGGGTGCGACGAAAAAGGTTCCCAGTGGGTTGACGTTCGAAGGGCGTAGCGCGGGGGCCGAGTGGCCTGTGTGCAAGCAGTGGCCGAAAATGCCGTTTCACTTTGCAAACTATGGGTTTACTCTTGCGGCAACGGTGTCGATTCACGAGGTGCCGAAGGGCATCACTCCCCTGATGGGCCTGAAGAAAATGGGGAAGACAACACTCCTGGGACTGTCGTACGATAATAATATGGAGTGGAGCGTGGAGCATGAGTTGTTTCCGAAGCATTTTACCGCATGGGAGCTGGACAAAACGTATCACGTGGTGCTCAAAATGCGTGACGGTGTGGGCTCCGTGTACGTTGACGGGACTCTCCTTTGGAATATGAGTCTGCCTCGTCCTTCTGATGAATTAATGGAAGAGATCTCACACTTTTACTTTGGCGCGTACGATGAGCTGTTGCACAGCAGAAAAATCCATGCGACGGTGGCGAACGTCTTTCTGTACAACCGCCCGTTGAATGAAACTGAGATTGGCGCCCTCAACGCGAATAAAGTCACCATTCCGCCTCCGGAAAGGAAGCCGGTGCCGGCGGCGGCAGCTACTTCTCCGTCCGTTGAATCTGCCAACGATACGGTGAACATAAATACACAGCCAACTGTGCCACCGCCTGCTGCTGCCGGACCACAGCCGACGGACCAAACAACTTTGAACGCGAACAGTGTTCGGAGTGGTGGCGCTGCACCCACGCCAGCGGAGTCGGAATCAGAAGGGCCCAAACCAGCGGAGTCGGAATCAGAAGGGCCCAAACCAGCGGAGCCCAGTGCCGCAACATCCTCAGCAAGGGAGGGAACTGCAAACCAGCCGGCATCTGCCACATCTTCCGATGGACATGAAGCTGTGGCATCTGTTACATCTTCAAGCGCCGCCAGTACTGATGTTGGTGCTTCTTCATCTGATGATGCACAAACGGCGGGGACGGAAGGTGGAGCTATGATGCAGGCAGATCAACCAACCCAATTCTCTGTGGGCACCCCCGACGCAGCAAATGCAGCAACGCACAACGCTGAAGGCAATGGACAAGAAGGGTTCCATCCACAGGTCAAGGAAGCAGAGGCGGCGACACTCAGCAGCAGCCTTTTAAATTCGTCGCAGTGGGATAACAGCGTTGCTGGCACTATGCGTGAGAGCGGAGTGCTGCCGCTGCTGCTTCTGCTGGGGCTGTGGGGGTTTGCGGCTGCGTGAGGAGTGTGCGGCCTCAGTGTGGAGCACTTGTGCCCTCCTCCGCACCGACACCATCCGGTAATGAATTACTCTCCGCAATGAACAATTCTTTTTCTCATTTAGTACTTTCCTTCTTTTGCTTTTTGATTCATGGCAACCACCATGGGCGTTTTTTTTTCTTCGGCTTTTAAATTTTTTTTTTTTTTCTGTTCGGAGCATAATTTCTTATGTTTTTTTATGTTTGTTTTTAATTATTTTTGTTTGCTTTTTAAATAAAATTTTTTATTTCTGTTTTTTCTTTTTTGTTTCTCATCCCCCATCTCTTCTCTTTTTTGCTTTCGGGGCAATCACTATGGACGTTTTTTTTCTTTTCTACTCTTTTAATTGTTTCTTGCTGCACTCTTCCTGTGAGGGGTGCCGTGTGTTTCCCGCCCAACTGCTCCACTCGCACACCCACCGACACGCTCACGACGACGGCCCTGTGCGCCTCGCCTGCTGCACGCATGAGGAGGGGCCGCGACGAACGGCGCGCTGAGGGAGCCGTGACGTGTGGGCGTGCGACGAGGGCCTGTGGGGCGGAGCACACATTTCTTTCCCTCTTGTTTTGTTGTTTTTATTGCGGCCAGGGCGGGCAGATACCTGCAGCGCCACACACACAGCCACACCCTGCCGCTTCTTTAAGGATTTTTTTTTTGTTTTGCGTGTACATTTCACGCTCTGGCAGCCTCTTCGGGGTCGGCCTCGTGAGCATTTCTCTCAGTCCCCTCTGATGATTTTTTTTCTTTTGCTGCGCTCACTCCCCCGATGGAGAGACGCGACTCCCGTCATGTCTGCGTGCTTCTCTCAGTCCCCACACACACGAGTGACTGTGCTCTGCGGGCTGCACTCACGCGCCGATGGAAGGGCTGAGGGGAGCACCAACACGCAGATGACCCCATGAAATATAAACGATGTGCGGACACACATGGAGGGTCAGACGGTTGAAAGACAAGTAATTATTTAATTTTTAATTTGCGGGCAAAATATATAAACATTTTGGTGGGCCACACAGTAACCGGGTGATTTTTTTTTTTTTTAGGAGTAAGAGCAATGGAGGACGACTTCTTTCGTGTCTTTTTTTCTTTTTATTTAATTACTTTGTTCGGGGCTGGAAAGATAATGGTGAAAGGGGAATTTTTTTTTGTAATTGTTTTAAATAAATCTTGTATGACTCGCCACTGCTTGGGCTGCGGTGCAGTCATGAGTTTGAGCAGTCTTGTTACTTCTACCATGCGGCTCTGCTGTACATTTTGTTTTTGCGTTTCTTTACGTGCTCCGTTTCTTTTTTTACTTCTTTACATCGTGTTTCTGCAGACACGCACATGCACACGCACACAGAGTGCAAATCACAGTGGATTCGGATGGTTCCTTTGCGGTGAGTGTGGCAACTACGTCTGGGTGCAGCTTTTTCCCGTGGGCATGAAGCGAAGGGAGGAGAGAGGCAGCGCGCAGGGCGAGTGTCTCTTCCTGATGGTGTGGGGGCGCTGCGTTGTGACCGCATGGAGTGAGGCGGCGCGTCATGGCTGGGTGAGGATCCGCTTCGGCGTGTGTGGCTCTGTGGTGATTGCTCGCTCCGTGTGCGTTGTGTGTTGGCTGCGGGGCTGCGGCCGTATCCCGTTGGCCGTGGGATTGAACTGGAGGCGATGGTGGCGTTGGGTCTCTTCTCTTCCATGGTGGGTGGCTGCTGGCGGTGTGTGCGTTTTTTGTGTGGAGGGCCGAATCCTCTCACCCGCGGACTGACGGCACTGCGATGGTGTTTGTGTGTGTGAGGGC